AATTTCACATTGAATATTGGAATTTGAACACTGCTAAAACATGATTACCCGTCAACAAGTCCAAGCGTGCTTAGAGAGAACAATTATTTCTAATTTGTACAAATTCATGTGTGTCAATTCCTTAATCTCCTTTGAATGTTTTTCACAGTATAGTGGAGAAGGGTGAAGCGGAATGTGGAGACCTGATTGAAGCGCACAAAGACTGTATGAGGAAGATGGGTTTCAACATTTAACAACTTGCCAAGAGCAAGAAAATGTGTGGTAAGTATTTGGATGTGAGCCGAAGTATCTTGATTATTGTAAATTCTGTTGGGCAATTCTGGGCAGAGTGGCAGAAGTCATCCTGGATTTCAAAATTTGTCTTTCACAGAAAAAATCACGAAAATTACAGGTGTACTGATCACGTTGGGCACTGTTGTGAAGGCAGTGAAAATAACCCACATAGACAGACAGGAAAATCCTATCTTTACATTGTATTTCATGTATGATTAGTTTTCATTTGCCAATTCAGTGAGTTGCAAAGATGTCAGTCTGTCAGTCACCTTGGCAACACACAGCTTTACTTGATCTTTGCAAAGGCCAAACTTTAAAGAAATCTGTGTGATAGAGGTTCAATTCCAACTAAGAAACAGCACCAGCGTTCAGGTCCCTACTTAATACCACCATATGATTGAAAAGGAGACACTATGTCGGTCTTTAACCCATGGAACTTCTAATCATCCAGATAAATCCCATCAATTTTTTACACATCCAAAGAGGGGTAGGATATTTGTATGCCCTTGCAATGTGATTGTTCAAAGTCAAGTCTTGACTCTAATTCATAAGCCAAAGTTATTGCAGGTTCAATGCTGTTTACAATTCATGGGTGTCCATTTTCCAATCTCTTTTTGTCTTCCAATTTTCAGATAAGGACAGTCAGGGACTTGCAGTTGAGCCGTTGGATCTAGAGTGCATGAAAGATCAGAGATCATCTGGAATTAGAAAGGAATTCAAACCACTTTACATTTTAACAAACTATTGCCTGTACAAATCCTCATCAAATCGTTTTTAACTTTGGAATCAACGTTTGAAGGCAATTCACATCAGCAAATTCTAACTACTATTTTTAGCAAGCAGATATTAGAAAAAGATACCACCATCATAACAAGGGTGCTTCACATGCTACATTCAACAAACCTTGAGTTTGGGTAGTACATGTGTCAAGTCATGTCTTGTGTTCATTATTTTAAATCTTTTAAATACCAGGTAATTCATGTCACTAATTTTTAAATCAGATGGAATAACCCTGCATTTACGTTGACCATTTTATTTTATTCATCACCATTTAAAAATGTCTGAAAATGCGAGATGGAAAATATTATAAGAGAACTGGATGTTGGGACCTGTTGTTGCAGGTCCATACATTACCTGCAACGGCAGTTTTGGTGCTGCATTTTACAGGAAGTTGTTTTCCAAATCAGTGGGCAGACCCACGGAATGTTAAGACTTAACAGGGTAGAAAAAAATGCACCCAACAACCTGTGATTATATTTCAACTTAATAATACATTTGTTGTAGAAAATGCAAGTCGCAAAAACTGGCGCAAACGGCTTGCTGGCAACAGTGACCTTAGGGACTGATCAAAAATAAAAATGTTGGAGGGTCTGCTGTTTAAGTCCTCGCAGAGTCTTCCTTGAAGGCATAATGACAGGTGGATAAACTTACTTGATTTGTGTCAGTCCACTGGTCATTTTGCATCCCTGGGAAAGATTCCGCTAGGATCGATAATGCTTTCATTTAAATCCGGATGTGAAAATTGTGGTGTGGTAATCTCGTGTGTCTTCTTTCATAGTGGCTGTGACATTTTAGCTAATGAAAATTGCCTGTGATTCTGGGCAGCCCCAATAATTAGATTACGTGGTTTTGCTTTTTCTTATAATTTACGCTATGTATACCAGGAAACAAATTTCCTTACTCAGGTTTTACTTTTGTTTGCTCTTCCGAGAAATAAAATGTCGTCCGAGACTCTTGGGTATCAAGATTCAACCATCATATCGTACTGGGGATACAACCTTGTACTTTCTGAGCAGGGAGTCATGCAGAGGACTTTACCATGACCCAAAAGTCAAATCATGCATACTGACCGGTTTCAAGCCAAATTTGCTAAACCTATATTTTCATCTTTGCAGCTGCCCGGTATGTCTAGTCTTTAATTTACATATATCTTTCAGTGTGCATTTTTCTTGGTTTAATTTAGGGAAAATTCAACCTATTGTCAAGCAATCAAAAGGGACCTCAGTTGTATTCATGTTATGTTAGTATTTTAGTTTTTGGGGTATGTATCTTTATTTGGATCCAGAGTGGTGAACAAAGGTAGCATTGATGTGAACTAGCAGTTATCAGTGTTTTGGGTGAAATGTGTAAATTAGAATATAGAAAATTTCTCAATTGTGACTATGCAATAAATTCAATTTTTAAGTATTTCCACAAGTAAAAAGCTCATGGGTGTCTTGCTTTAAAATCCTGAAAAATATTCTAAATTCTTGGGAATAAGATATTGTTGGTTTCATTTTTTCTGGAAAAGACTCATAAAATGTGTTTTACATGCAGAAGGAGGGTGCATTTTGGCATGATTTTTATTTAAATGCACAAAAGAAGTACATCAGTGAGTTGGTATACTACCAGCAAATACCAGCCATCAAATTTATAACATGGGGCACCACTGATCACCAGAACTTGGTCAGAAAAGTCTTCTATGATTTGTCCATTTAACGTTTCAGTCAGAGGATCCAGTCAACACCTTGAAACTAATTTGAACTCGCATGTACACGTGTTTTCAGTCAGCATGTAAATTTCTCAAGTTTAGAGCTGCACACTCGTGTGTGTACACCTAGCTTCAGAGAGATATTTTTCAACTAAGAATGGCCAAGTATTGCCGTGTGTCTCTTTTGCACAAGTCAACATTTGACAACTCAATTTTTGACTGGATTCAGTCCCACCAACCTGATAGGAAATTGCATGTATAGTGAAATGCCCGTAGATGACAGAATTGTATTGTTGAAGGCAAAAAAATTTAGAGGACTGCAGAGTGATACTGCTTTCAAGACCTCGTCCATTTCCTTTGATGGTCTTCCTCGGATGTAATTGTCGCGTTGCCATTGGCATAAAGATGAAACGAAAGTTTCGAACACAAATTACACCGAACAAAAGAGCAGACGACGCCCCTGCAGTAAATTAATGTAACTGCTCATGCGCAGTTGAAAGTGATGGTCAGTACCTGAACGCTTGCAAACGGTAATTTATATGTATACTCACGGGTTACCAGGCTATATACCTGGTTCTCAGCGATACTGTGCAAGTTATATATGAATGATAGGCGACCAGTGCGTTTTTTCAGTAGCGAAAACGGTTGCTAGATGGGGGAATTTGAGAAAAATGATGCGGAATCCAGATGCCGATTTCGTCCTCCACGGACGACGGACACCCATAGGGTAAATAGCTATCTGTTCTAATTACATTTAATATTATATGAACTTTTAAAGTTAAAATATTTTGTTTGGGAACGAAAGTTTTTGAACTTAATTTCCGTTGTTATGGACGCTTTGGCTTTTAGTTTTGGTTAGGCCTGCATGATGCATCAACTAGGTAGGATAGGCTAGATCGCATTTGACTCAAAGTTTGACACAATTTTTTGTTCTTTGAGGCAAGTAATTGTGGGATTTGAAAAGCTGGGCACAATGCCTGAAGGTGTGATTTGTTGCGTTGGAAGTCTTTCGACCCAATAGTTGTTTGGAAAAAATAAACTCTGGAGTGAATTAGTTCAGGACAATTTCAAATGATTTTCTCAAAATTGTTAATAAAATTTCATATTGTGAAAAATACCCTCAGGCCGCCATGTAGGTTAACAGAAATGAATAATAACTTGGGTTGAGATTAATTTAACAAAACTTAAACTCTGAAGAGCTTTGAATCTGTGGTTGATTTATAGTTTTTAAGAAAGATATACATGATATAGGCCTAGGCCTAAGTAATACAATGAATTATTGTTTTGTTCCCGACAGCACTGACAAAGCCAAGGAGTACCTCACCAACTCCCAGCGTACAATCAGCACACGGAACCTATCCCAAAGTACCCTTTATCGACAAGACAACCGTAGTTTGAGCAGTTTTGCAGAACCAAGCTTTGCCAGGAGCCTTGGAAAACCATCCCTCCGGGAGAAATCCTCCAGGAAGGAAGGTGGGTTGCAGGACTCAACTTCTGGGTCAGTGTTTGATGCGGAGAGCCTGTTTGGGTCCATGAACGGTGGGACTGCATCGCGACTGGAACGTAGAGAACGAAGCCGGAAGCCCAGGGATAGTGAGTTTAGCCTGGATTTCACTGGCCTGGGAAACAGCCTCAGCAAGAGCCTCAGCAAGAGTGTCAGCTTCAGCGAGCACCTGGAACAGCACAAGATGAACAGCCCCAAGGAAAATAATGACTACGACAATGATGATCTCGAAGACACTTTTGAGGAGGAGCTGCAGAAGCTCATAGATAACGACATCAAAGAGAATGAACGCTACGAGCAGGACCTTGCTGGAAGGCCCAAGAGCAAGGATGAGTCAGAGTGGTTCACCGAGCCCATTCATTTGACCAAGACAGCCGACTACCCGACATTCCAGAGTCTTGGAGTAGACACAAAGCTCACGTCGCCAGTCAACCGGACAACAGGAATGCTGGGTACTGAGCTAGCCCAGCAGAAGATTGCTAACCAGATGCTTCTGGACGACATCACTCGGACTTACTTCCCGATCACCCTGGGAGAGATGCCTTCGATCATGAGGACAGTGACCCCACAGCCGCCAAACTCCAGTGGGAAGGAATATGCGAGAGCCCGCTCAGCAGCAGGCTTGGCCTCCAAGAGCTCGACAAACAGGACGGGTCAAGTGTCTTCAGCCACGGGATCAAGAAGACACTTGTCCAATGCCCGTAGTTCCCACAGTAGGACAAACTCGCACAGCAACCCTAAATTGGATGCCTTGTATGATTACAACTACCTCCGAGCATCAAAGCCGTTTGTTGACGGAACAGTCACGACTTCCCCATACCAGTACGAACTGGCACAACTGAAGATGGAGAGGCTACGGCTTGAGGAGCAGCGACTACTAGAATCCAAGCGACAGGAAGAGCTGGAACGCATCCGAGGTCCGAAGCCAAAATGGTATGCAACCAAAGTTTTAATAGATCCCTTTTTGTAATGCTTAACATAGGTGAGACTTCATTTCTGGTTAAGACTATTGCCTATGCATATTTCATTGAGTGTATCATATGTCAGAGTAGGAGGCTATTTTTATTATAAAATTAGGGTTCTTGTGTTAATTAGATTGTGTGACATTCAGAGTTCCCCCGAAATTCAGTATTTCCCAAGAAATTTCACGCAAAGTTTGATTTGTGACAACGGAAATTGCACTAGCAGTCAAATATATTTTACTGCACCACTCCTGAGTCCATGGTGCTCCAACAAAACCCTGCCAACTTTAAGATCCTTTTAAGAAAAACAGAACAGAACTTTCAGAGCCCCTTCAGAGAGAACACAAATCTCAGTCATTAAAGTTATAATTCTCAATATTTTCTTTCTTGTAGGTACGAGATGAAGTCGCCGCAGTTTACCTACGAGCTGCACAAGAACAACAAACTCCTCCAGAGCAAGAAAGACTGGCAGAAACTGATGGACTATCGAGACCAACTCACCAAGTCCTCCCAGGATTTTGCTAAGACAGAACTTGGTGGATATTTGCACTGAGTACAGTCTCAATGTACTTATCATTTGACCCATCATCAATGAACTTGGGAGTTTTGAGGACCTGTTACGCATCCGTCCTTTTTCAGACAGTTCAATAGGCTGGCAAATTTAGAGTACAGTACTCAATACTTTTGTTTTTAACCCGTAGATTTATTAAAAATCCAATTTTAGTATATATATATATTAACATGCAGCCCAGGCAGGTAGCATTAACCCGTCTTGTTAATTCGCACTTTTCAATCTGAGTTTTAATCTCTTGAAATGATTAAGATGTGCATAATTTACTTTTATGAAATATTCAGTCATGCACTTAAAATTACATTGTCCTTTCTTAACATTTGTTTTAAAAGTAGAATTTTTGGGATTCCATTTTGTATTACCTCTGTAGGCAGTAGTAAAAGTTGCCAAACGTATGATTTGAATTATTTAATGAAGTTGAATTTGGTGGATCAAAATATGAAGTACTGTACATTGTGACTTTCTGAATCTCTTGTTCATTAAAATGCCTTTTCCCCAGGAAGTCCGTCCTTCAGCAGAGAGTCTATACTTTCTGTTATCACAGTCTGTCTGTATGGCACTCTCTATCGAAAAGTCAATGCCAGAAGAAATGTTCGATAGCCGTGACAGTGATAAATAGAGATGGGAACTGAATTAAAACAGGAAGTATCGAACTGTTTTGGGATCGATGTAGGGAGCTTTAAATTTTCAAGGGTTTCGTTCAAGACATTAGTATTCCAGTTTAATTTTTAATTGAGCTGGACAAGTTATTGAAACGTTAACTAGCTGGGCATCAATTAATTTGTAAAGAGAAGATGGTGCCCTTCCCTAAAATCAATATCTGATCTTACCGATGTCGTCTGATCTGACACGTTCTTGGATATGCAAGAAAGAATTCCCCTTTGTGTGTGACCTTTTTGTTCAGCTGCAAAAACGTGCAAAAAATCACCGCCCTTATCTTCACGGATTCCAGGAAGGAATACTCGATTTTCGTCCAGTGGCAAAGAGCAATAGTTTTGTCTTCTTCAGCGTGAACAAATGTTCTGTAGACCTCGGTGCCCGGAACATTAAAAAATCACTTTTTTTTAACTTTGAATATGGTCGAGCAACTGCGGCTTTTTTTTTATTTGCGGATACTGCCGTGCGCTGGAGACCGCGTTGAATAACGAAGAGACCGTTATAAATAAGGAAAGACAAGACCCGGCATCAGACCCACCTAGACATAATTTGATTGGTTGCAAGGTACTGAACCGCGGTCCTCGAGAGAGTCAGATTGGCTCGTTTTACAGCTAGACCAAGACGCAGAAGGCGGTGCCTATAAACCACGTCATGTCTGACGTGCTTCTGTTGACGTTTACGATTGCTACCCAGTCGATATAAATATTAGATTGTTGCAATCTATCACTTTCACCGTCATAACTGGGGGATCTCGAACTCATTCATTACTGAAGGATGTGATATTGATTTCGTTTTCATCTCATTCGACAATTTATGTAAAAAATAAAACCAGAAACAGAAAAAAAGGCTAAACAGTAAATCACAAAGCTGGTGATGTTTAGTTATTTTGTATTACCCCCGCACTATAAAAACGCAAGCTCAAATTACAGGTTCTATAGTTTGTTTTCTGGTGACGCCTGCCTTGGGTTGATATTGGCAAGATTTCTCTTTGGAGTTTTGAAGTATGTAAGCTCGTTTTATCCTATGTCTTGATTTTATGTAACGAAATCAAGTCTTTTCGCATTCTTATTGTGCCTCAAATTTCTTAAAATGTGTAAGTCGTAACTGATTTCATAAATCTCGACTTCTGTTTTCATTTACGGAGTTTTTCTGAAAGACTTGAGGGTCGCATTGGGATCTTAAGTGAAATTACTTTGAAAATGCTTCAAAAATCTTGAACTGTATATAGTTCAGTTTTATTTATTAACCATGTACAACGTTACCACGTTTGATTTCGTTTGTTTGTCCTTGAAAACTTATTAACACAAACAAAATTTCCCTGACAAGTTCTTGCAAGGTGCTAATGTCTCCCGGCGCAACATTGTGTAAAGTCTCTGTACTTTACGCCATGTTGTTGTCCATGCACGTAACCTTTCGTCTTTTTCTGCATCGAGGGCGGTTTTGGTTGGTAATGCCATTCGCGTCTGGGTTATACAACCGTCCTTTTGTCTATTAGTTTGTCCGTCCTTCATCTCCGACCTTTGAATTTTCTCCTTGCGACCTGCCCCGTAGCTCCCCTTCAGAGCACCATGTACATCCGCAGCCTGGTAGTCCTCACGTTCTGTTTTGCGGTCTTTGGCAATCACCTAGCGCCGCTCTACGAAGTAGTGAAACCCATACCTAACAGATATTTGATAAAAGTCAAGGTAAATCTATAATACATGTATTTAAAAATCCTTTTTAATCACAGCCAAATCTGCCCTCTTATACCAAGAAATCTGACATTTAAAAGAGAGATAACAAGCGGAAGAACTTATAACATGTATTTTTTCATGCAGAATACTGGGAGAAACGCACTGAGTTATTTGGTAGACGACCTTTTGGCGGAGAACGAGCGCAGTGCCCAACCCTATCCCGGCTTTGGTCACATTGATATTATCGACGAGATGGATGGAGATTACTTGAAAATTTTGTTGGTTGAGCTGGACTACAAATCTTTGAATACGGTGAGGATGTCGGAATTATAACTTCCTATTGTCCTATTACATAATAATGTTTCACTTGTAGCCACAATAACTCCATTTTGGGAGCGTGGCCACGTCCGGTGTTGGTAATTTCCTTATTGCGAAAGATTATTAAACGATTACAATAGTTTTAGACGGCAATTCTGAACAGCTGACAAAAAATTTTGATTTATCGTCACCTTCTTGGCAGGTTCGAAGGCACCCCGCGGTGGAGTTCGTCGAGGAGGAAGACGGGCGTGCAATAAGCAGCGAGGATGACTTCGATTTTGGCCAGTTCGACTCTTTGGGAATCGACACCGAGGAAAAGAGAAGCCAGTCCAAGCGTCTAACCGAGGACGATTTTCCGTACAATGAGAAGGGATTTAACGGGCTGGATCGAATCAATCAGAGGGATAATGAACTTGACAAGAACATAAGCTTTTCCGGTACAAATAAATATTTTCGGTTTATTATTTTGTCTCACACATTGTACCAGCTGCATCAAGGGAAAGTCGTAAATTTTTTTTAGTCTATTTTTTTTTAAAGAACATTAACATTTATTACGTCTTATTGTTTTTCCTCAAGGAAATGGATTTGGTGTGAATATTTACCTCCTCAGTACTGGTGTCTTGCAAACTCATGACGACTTTGATTGTCGTGTAAGAATGGCCTATGACGTAATGGGCAAAACTGTAAGTATGCAAAACTGCAAGTCTTGATTCAAGATTTCCGACGAGGGACTCGCTTTTCCTCTGCAATTTTTCTTTTATTAGGTTACGTCTTTGTAATTATGAATTCCTTTTCAAGGACGTGAGATTGAGTGATTCCTACTCCAAACTTATCCCTCTTTTAACGGTACAAATGGGATACTTATTAGGACAGGCCTACTTGTAACGAGAATCGGATACAACTGTTTTCAACCAGGACTCCAGAAGGAACGACACCACCAGGTTTTAATTACAAACGAGCGACTGAGATCACAGCATACAGCCTCAACAACGAAACAAACTGTTGTTTCAAATCACGTGACATTTTAAACCAACATGAAGGATTAAGTTTTCTCTGTGACACCTCGCACGGACTTTCTTTATATGATAGACCCGATAGGCATTTGAAAAGTTTTGATGTGCCTACCTATGCATTTCATCATACAGGGAGAAGATTGTGCGGGTACCGGGACGAGCATTGCGGGTATTGCGATAGGCAAGTCGGTTGGTGTAGCAAGAGCCGCTATGGTGCACAGCGTCAGGGTACACGACTGCAACAGCACTGAGACTAGTGCAAGACACGTCGCTGGTAAGAGAGCTCACATTTCATTTAGCCTGCACGAATTTGTATTCCGGAGCCCAATCTTTAGTCTTAAGAAGTAGTTATTTTTTGGCCTGGCTTGGAGTGGTTGGTCGCATCTCGCTCGTCATCCACTTCAAACACACACAGAATGGGCGCAGGCGTATGGCTAGCCGTAGCCGGGGAAGCCAGTCTCAGACACAGGGTAATTGTTTTAATTTGTAATTGATTAAATTGATTTAATGATCTGCATGCAGGAATGCAATGGGTGGCAAATAACCGTGCTAAGCCCTGCGTGGTGTTGCTAACCGCCTCCATCAACAACGGGGGCAAGACCATTGACGCGGCGGCAGAAGCCTTGGTCGATGCCGGCTGCGTTGTCGTTGCCAAATCGGCCCCGCTCAGAGACAGCCACTCTGAGAAAAGAGCCTGTTCCTTCTCCCCCGGCAGATCTCGCAGGGTAAGTGGTCACACAAAGTTAGGCCACAGCAAGCCAACCTGAAACAAACAACCAATTCACTGATCCACATCAACTGAGTAACCGTCGAACTGATCATTGACAGATGAACGAACAAACCAATTTATACAGATCCACTGAGTGACCAGCCATGTAGCCGATGGAATGACCTTCAAACAAAGTGACAAACCAACAAACTGGTCGATTAAACAATCGACTGATCGACCAGCCATTTTAAAATAGCAATTCCTTGTTCATTTTATCCAATGAAAGCACAGGTCTTTTTTTCATTTATGTCCCCCGCCTTTATAGGTTATCACTGTGTCTGGCACCTACAGAAACAACAGAAAAGCTGATTGGGCGGGAGATGGTATTTGTGTCGACATATTTGCCCCAGGATCGACTCTAATGACTACCTTCCCTACCAACGATGGATACTACGAACTGGCCAACGGACCCAATTTTTCAGCTGCCTTTGTAGCAGGCAAGTTAGGGGTTTCTGTTATCGCCTGAACCATTTTAAAGGAAGGACTTTTCCTTATTGTCACTTTATTGTTGAAGAAAAATTCAATGTAATTTGTTTAATTTATCAGACCAGGTTACTGTAATAAACATGTGTGTGTCCTTGAACATGACACTTGTCATAATCACTTTTTTTCAGAGCCGGAAACAGTAGTTAATTACCTTCAACTCGATTTAATTGCGATTTAGTCGTCAACGTTGAGTGATATTGATACAAGAATGCACATAGTTCTAAGCCTAAAGGCAGATATAATGTTTGTCATTTTTACACTAATGCGCATAATTTGAATATTTAACAGGCGTGGCCGCCATTCACCTCGGCAACAAGGTGGATGCAGCAAACGTGAAAACTCGGATTCTCAACGACGCCACTCCTTGCGTGGTTGGCAACGACTTGAAGGGGGCGCCCAACCGCATGCTTTACGTTGACCCTGGTCCGTATTATTAGCTGCCCAGCCCTCGGTGCACTGGGGGTCAGATAAACAGCCCCAGTGATGAAACATGTTCCCGGGGTTCTGGTCACAAAAAGTTGTTTAATGGAGTTGCATTTAGAAAATGATATCATAAATTGTGAGTAGTGTTGATAAATTAATGTAAGTTCTTCATTGTGCTTTTGGAGCGTCTGTCGTTTTACGAGTAATTAAAACATATTTACCACTCAGTATTTAGTAATTTAACTGGTGAAACAAGCGCTCTTTATTAAATTGTTACGATTGGGAAAAAATATGAGCAAAATAATAATCAGCGCAAGCATAATAAAATTGTGCATATTTCATATTCCTATAATATCAAAACAATGGATATACAACTCACTTGGATTTATGTAAAGTTGCCAATAAAGGCCTACTAACAGACCATAAACCCAAATTAACCTTAACATTTATTCTTGACTAACTTCATGTGTTCACAAACCCAAAAGCTCTTTTAAATCTCGCTAAGTGCATATATTACTCCAGTTATTTTCCTTTTTGTCATCACTGTTTGTAAAAGCTGATTTCCATTTATGGGTAACTTAGTAACTTTCGGGCCATATTACACAGTAAAACTCGAGTGTAAAATCGTTGCATAGCCAAGTCCTTCCAACTTGTGTAACTTTTCTGGTATCTTGCTATTGAGAAAGAACCTTCATACTTTATGAGTGAAAATGGATATATGTAATGAATAAATAACTGAACTACTCCAAGAAACAGATCAGAATTGTTTGATTTCTTAAAATCAACGCGTGATATCCATTTCATGGGTTAATCCTGTTTTCATTTCCATAACGCGAACTTTAAACGATCGCCAGTATTTTCTCCGAATTTTTTATATGAATTTATGTGAAGGCATTTTATTTGACTTACAGGCATCAATTTTCCTGGAATGTTATGAAACTTCTGAAACGCTACAATTATTGTTTTGATGAATCTAGGGGGTTTGGATATTTTGGCACGCACGTGGCCATTGAAAACGGTTTGAAATACGCGCCAAATTTCTCGAGTAAAGGTAGACGGCAGAGACACAGTAGCCAGTGGTTATGGTAAAATAGTGTATTACATTTATGGATTCTAAAAGATTTTAGAATTCTCGTGGACTGGAATCCGGTGTCTTCGAAGCGCCCTTCCTTGAACCAGTGGCCTATTTCATGAGGGCAACTTCAACACCAACCACACCAACAAATAAAATAAAGGATGTCGAGATTGTAAGGCTTTTGATTTTTTTCTCCCCCTACACCATGTGGATTGAACCCGAAGCCAATTGACGCATGCGCTTTTGAATTTACCGACACCAATACGCCGCTGCCCACAACAAAAGACAGAACAAGGCTTTATCCCCCCCCGAATTAAAAACTAAACAAAAGAAAGCCCAGCCATCCAACTCCAAATGTACCTAAAAGAGAAGTCCCCTGCCCCAGTCATTAATGTTGTACATGTACATGTATTTTTTTTCAGACTGACAACAAGTTAGCTGATGTGTGGGATATAAGCGTGGGGGTATGTATTTCATATGAGACACTGGGATAGGTGCCATTCCAAGTCAAGTCCTCCCCACTTCTAAGTCTCTATGCGTGTCTTAGTTTGCTCTCGCCAACACACATTTGAAACAGAGAAGACAATTTACTTACGATGAAAAATTGATATCAGATAATGTTTTATTCACGTCTTCTATGAACCGCAAAATAAAACCAAATTACTGCAGCACTGGAAAAGTGATTTTTATCGAGTTTGATGAAATTTCTGCCACGACAAAATGTATATTAAAATAGACAATCAATCAAACATGGAGCTAGTGTCTTGTTAGAAGTATCTGAGGAATCAACAGATATATATTTGGGATGTTGTGCAACGTTTGAACAAGACGTAAAATTTTATTTGGCATTTTTCTAAATACTTTCTATAAGTAAACAACTGTTAAAAGACTATTACGATTGGTACATTGGAAAACATCGGTTGCTAGGGTGTTAGTTCTTGCCAATAAATGCACAGCAGTAAAGACACTTATTCTAATCAATCAAAAGGGAACGAAATTATCTTAATACATTCATCTTTTAGATTTTATAAGAGGTGCGCCGGGAATGTTGGCGAGTACGCAAGCGCTGTGACCATCTACTCTGGTGCCCAGACTACATCCCGGCGTCAACGTACAGCATGCGGTTGGGGGTCCCTGGACCTTCGTTTATTATCACGCACGGTGTTGCATCGGTCAAAATTCGCTCTTTGACTTTGGACGCGGGGACGTCGTTACCCAGGTGAATTGCCGCCACTCCTGCCAATAAATGCAAGAAACTTTCTTCGGTGAGTATTTCTAAACCTAAACCAGGCCATCACGGTATAACGCCACCTTCTAGACCGGTTACATGTATTGTAACGTCTGTGCCGGCAGAGCTACAGTACTCTGGCTAACATGGCTAACGATCCCTTCGTTGGAATGGGACCAATTTTTTTAGCTAAAGGGTGTTACTTAATCACAGCCGATTTCGAACACAATACAGTATCAACAGTCCCAGTTTGACTGGTACACGAAGTAACCAGCTCAACACTGCGGTACCTCTCTCGAATATGGTTTCATAAAGACAGATCTGGTCCTAATATGAATGCATTCCGGCAGTCATATCACCAGCACCCATGGCCAGACTGCTGAATGGTCGACCGTTTCAAAAACGTTTGACTCGTTCCACCCCATTTGTGCTTCTATTTGAATTTGAATCCACTTTATTCCACTCTTAGAATACAACTGAAATTCCACACCAGCTTATTTGTTTAGCTTATCCATTCATCGAGTCACAATTCTCGTTCGAAACCAGATGTGTACATTTTTATCACAGGGAAACAATTTCTCTTACTTGACCATGTTTTGTCGGTCTGTCTTTTTTCCCTTCAAATTATCTAGAGTGATAGCTTAAAGTGACATCTTATTTGTCTAACTGTAATCTTTCCATCACTGGAGAGGTAAATTTCATTTTACTTTTCAAGAGTCCTTATTTCACTGCTTTCATATAGATAAGGTTCAGATAAATTAACGTAAAACGAAAGTGTCATTAATAAGAATACATAGACGTGTAATAAGGGTGTTTCACAATAGTGCACCACCAATTTGTCGACCCAATGCGCGTTTGGAAAGGGTCGACAGATTTGGCGCGTTGTGATTGGCCAACGCGTTGCAAACTCTTGAAGGCGCAGAATTAAAGTGCATCAGCTGGTTGAAATAGTTTTGAAATAATTTTGGGGACACTTACTTTGTTCAACATTAGTTTTGAGAACGCTCCCGTGCAGATTATACACGCCGATCATAAGTGAAAAATCACATTTATTCATACAGTGGTAAAATGTTTTGAGCATGCGTACAAACATACCAGAACGTCATCTGCCAGACTGTCTTGAAAGGTAAAAAGGGCTGGTTTTCTTTGGATTGGATGGTAACTTACGCTGTTCGGTGCATTCGCCACGGAATCAGTTTCTCGGTTATAGGGTTTTGGTCAGGGTGTGAAATAAATATGTCATAATGCTTTTTGGTGTGAGATAGGGTCTTTGCCCTACGTACCTGCAACGAAAGCCGCCGATACGGCTGTTCCGTACGAAAGCGTGTAATCGTCGTCTCCGTCATCCGTCTGTTGTCGGATGGCCGTCTTGATCCTTGTCCCCGGAGCGAGAATGTCGACACACGTGCCATAGTAGGACGACGGTGCCTTGTGGTCCAGCGCGTTCGTATCAGCGACGTTGATTACCTGTCGAACGACGACAGAACAACATTGATGTACTGTATCTAAATCTTGCTCAGAATGTTTTCCCAGAATGTCGGCGGTATTCACATCAGAGTGCTGAATTTACCCCATTTCACTTCAACTTGATATCTTCATCGGTATAACTATTTATGGCACACGGTGTGGTGTCAAACATCTTAATATCATAAACGTGATATGCGAGTTTTATAAACAAAGAATAGTGTGCTTCACCTGGATTTTTGGGGTGGTGGTTAAGGTTTACGAAGATAGTTTGCAATAAAATGAAAAAAAAATTCCTGTATAGTCATTGGTTTATATCGAAGAATCTGTCTCTTTACACCGAAATATCCCCCATTCAAGACCTCCGTCAGGACAAGGTTTGTAAGACCACGATTACTACTCACGCTGTGAGTTCGGCCCGGCGACAAGGCGCAAGCATCAGACCCGGTCTCCGACACGGTGCCGGCGGCAGTCACGACCACGCAGCCCTCGTTGGGGTTAGAGAAGAGAGATTGGGTCAGGGCCTCTGCCTTCAGGTCCACGCTGACCGACTTGGGGAGGGTGTGGCCAAGCAAGACGACACAAGGCGTCCGACCGTGATCCTTCACCCACTGCATGCCTAATCGATAATGCAGGGCAAGATGGGGAAAGTTGGTGGTGAAATGTCACCCGGGCGAACGTACCGTGAAGTCAACAAAAAGCCTTCAGACCCCGAAACGTGTACCATTCTTAATTTCTTTGCAACGGGACTCAATTCAAGGCCCTGGGTGAAGGTTTTGCCGATTTTATGAAATCTTTAAATGGTTTGAAGCGTGGAGGGTCTACTGAATTAAGGAGTTGTAACAAAATAAAGCAAATCATGAAAGTTTGGTGGCCGACCTGAGAAACTATGAAGGCTGGACATTTGGACACTTTCATTTGGCCTCTTTGGATGAGGGTTTCTACATTATATAGGACCCTCTCACGGGTCATGTTTGCAGAGGCGTATCCAACAGGGGATCCCCCCACGTTGTTTTAAAACAAAGAATACTTCATACGTGAGTGGGGAGGAAAGTGATCGGTACATTTATTTGTCAAATACTAGCACCAAAACCTTAAGAAAATAAAACCACCTAATAAAAGCAAAGATCTCGGGACCGTGAATAAGGCGTTTGATTATTTTCCCAACATCGTCTTTAATGAGCCCGAAGTTGCATTCGCTTTTGAATCTCCCCCCCCCCCGAAATCAAAAGCTGGATACGCCGCAGCAGGTTTGGGGAGGTCTGCTTGAACCATTCGGGGCGATTGGAAGCGGACTTACCGGCAATAAAGTTCATCTGGTTCAGGTCCGTGTCGCAGTCGGTCACCCTCACACCAAAGACGTGCGCAGCCTTGGCCACCCCGACGCGCTTACCGGCCACTACACTTGCGACGGTCGTACCGTCCTTCTGAGGGCAATCGTTGCCCTAAGTGAAAAGGTTTTAAAAAGGTTGTGTCAGGGCTGGCGAGCTCCTTGAATCTTTGGATGCAAAGGGCAAAGGCAATCTGGTTTGGGGGCTGTCTCTGATATCCTGAGGCCGTTTTATTAAGACCAGGAATACTACTACCTACCGGCTGCCCAAGGACGTCATGAACCATCCTCGCTCGGCATTCTAGTTCGTCATGAAGCAGAGCAATGCTAGCATCCACCACGTAAACATTCACTGCGAACCCATCGCCTGGAATTACATTGAGAAAAACTATGTTAGTTCTCATTTTTTTCTCATAAATATCAAAAACCCCGTTTATATGTCACTATCTTCCTTGTTTTCCCCCTTTAGTCTATACATACAACAATTCTTAAAATAACTGGAAAACCTAACTGATATGCAATTTTATCTGATAATGAACGCGCTGGGAGAAATGCCGTTAAATGGGCAGAAAGGATCATAACATGGAACTTCAGATTGAGAGTATGAGCATACACAGTTGATGTCAGTGTTCAGTAATTACAGATCGCACCTTACAAATTCGTCGCACAGGTCTGATTTCGACGAGGACAGGTTTAAAGCTGTTGACACTTTAAGCAGTACGCGCCATTTGAAAAAAGAGGGTTATTTTACCGGCAAAAGTCATATTGTAGTCTCGATCCGGTCCTATCTGGTTGATGCGATCTAGGCCATAGTAACCGTCGTCGTCAACCCTATCTTGACGCTCGGCATTCTCCGGAATCGGTTTGCTTGTGTGCGCCGCGTCCCCTCTCATCCGCGTCTCTTCTTCCACGAACTGCACCGATGGATGGTAGCGTACCTGTCGGAATGAAATCAGGTTCGGGAAACAGATCGATGCATTCAGTAGACTGGATTGAAACGAGTTGAATTAAATGTGATGCCGATATTGGACGCAGAGCGTCCTCAAACCGGCATTTCCCGGTCCCAAGCTCGATAAGCGACTACCGCGTGAAGGATTTTCGATAACTGTATTAAAAAACACCCAAATTTCGAGATTTAAACAAAAAATGATTTTACTTTGAAAAACCTATTGGCACTACCACCAAATTATACATTAAAGTATGCATCGTTATTCGTTTTGTTTTTACCGTGTCTAGAGATTTGTAGTCTAATTCCAACAGGAATAGCTTCAAGTCTGTACCATCAATCTCGTCTAAAACCTTAATGTGACCGAAGCCGGTTCCCTCCTGTTCATTGCGATCGTTTTCAGCCGCCATCTCCAGCCTGAAGTTGTTCATGGCATCTTTGCTGTTGCCCTGTTGATAAAAAGACAGAGTCTCCGTAGAACTAAGTATAGGGACTACAGGTATATGGCTTCCACTTACACACGAAAAGTGAGTTTTGTACGCTTCGTGCTTCGTTTTGTTTTTGGAAAGTCACTCTAAATTACAGTAAAATGGCAAAGGAATTAAATGTAATAACGCACTTAAAAGGGTTATGGGAGCTGGTGCGGTAGATATTTCTATTTTTTTTTACAGTACTTAAAATGTTGATAAATCCCCGTATAAAGTTGCACAGAATGATCAGAATTATTACTCACCTCGATTCTAACCAGGTAGTGACTTTTAACGGGATCAAGACTTTCGAACAAAGGAGCCGGGATGCCGCACACTAGCCTAGCTAGCAGGAGAGCGATGAGGCCGTGGACCGACATGATATTGGGTGACAAACTGCGGGGAAAGAGGTTTACCTCATCGACCAATTAGTGAGCAGGATATACACCACATGACTGAATGAAGACAGCTCAAGAGACTTATGAGCAGGTAAGCGAGTGGACAGACAACGAGGACACAGACGGACATTAAATGCCAAAGGGCATTTCGTGATTGGCAAGTTTCTGTTGAAATGGTAAGAACAGTTGGATAGACAAGCAGAACGGACAAAGATAGGAGTAACACAAAACGTCGGCAATTTGTCAAAAAAAACCCAATCAAAACAAATCAAACGAAAACAACACATCCACAGCAAAATAAAAATAAACTATAGCATAAACACTGTGCACAGCAAAACGCATGCTGTTAATTTTGGAACTCGAAACACAGATCCTCTGGAGGAGTTCAGACAAAGTGAGTTAATTTTTTTAAAAAAGGGTCATACCTCAGAAGTCGACTTAACACTTTGAAAACCTTTCCACAGCGGATGTGAGAATAGAATCTTCCTACACTTTGATTTTATAGTCGAGCAGTGACTCGTGTCGTGGCTACACTACCCCCACATCAAATGCTCGGTATCGCTTTTAGTGAAATGCGTAAAATTCGATATCGCCTCCGTTTGAAATTGAAACGACTGAGATTAGCTTCGATTTCGTTTGACCGATTGAAAAATCAAGAGTTGTCAATGGAAAGATGGAAGGAATGATAGGTCGCTGCCAAGTATCGGTAATCAATCACAAAGATGTTCCAGCTTTTTTCTGCGATTCGCATGACCTTTTCGAACGACGAAAAAATATCTGAAATGAATTGGAGACACTCTATCTGTCATCCGCCGCTGAAGGTTAATCAATCCCATGATAAATTAATGTCGCAAATAATAGTAATATTGCAAGAGATTCAGCAAAGGAAGCACTGTAAAAGCCGTGTCGTTTGACGCACCGATTTTTTTTTTTGGGGGGGGTTCAGGTCGTTTAGATCTAATAAACCTTTTCATTGTTCATGCTGTTGACATATCAGGAGGATATAACTCTCTCACATTTTTTATTCTGAAGCAGAAATCACAGGTGGGGTGGTTTGAGGTCACGTGACAAGACGTAAACCCCCATGGCTGTTTTGTTTCTCACTCCAAACTCTTGATCCTTGCATATTTGATGTGTTTGTTTGTATCCCCCCCCCAAAAAAAAAAACAGCAGTGCAAAAAACCCACACACACACGCACACAAAATAAAAAATTAGAGGAATTATTTCAACAGGTCTTTCTGTCGGAAAAAAGTGTTTTCTGGCCCCATAGGAACTCATGATCGATGCGCGTTACTCGCATTTTAAACAAGGAAACAACTTTTGAGAAAAAAACTTCGGAGGACTGTTGACCGTATATTGTTCTTATTTATTTGATTAAAACTGAACTCGATAAATTAACAATGCAATAAAAAATGTCCACTTTATGCATTGTTCACTGTTACAAGAGGGTGACCTACTTTGTTCAATTTTAAGTAGAGTAAAATAAAGTGAATTCATATAGCAAATAAATAAGAGTTTGGATTTCTAACAAGGCATTTTTTCCACTGTTAATTGTAAATCACTAAAACAAGGGGACAGGCCTTATTTTAACATGACAAGTGTTATGAGTAAATAAATTGACGACATATTAAATCACTGGAAGGCGAATAATTCTTCAATGCAAAGACACTGCCAACTCCCTGAAAAAAGATGTGCTTTGAATACTTACATTTTGCAAAGAACTGTAAATAGGCAGCTCTAGACTGCATTTAATGTCTCTCACGTCATTTGAAAAGTACCTGGTGACATATGCCAGTCTCAGGGAACTCGGGAAATGAACTACTTTGATTTTATTCAGTCTACAATAAATACAACAAAATGCAAGAACACTAAAATATGATAGCAATCATTATGCAAATATACCTTCCACCCAAATGGTTTGCATAAATGCTTTTTCTTGTTTCCCGTAAAGGTTAGAAAAATCTGTCAACTGGAATGCTTGAAATACATTAATGTTCACCAACATTTCAGTCAATCAGTGTCAATGCCTGCCAAAGGAAAAACTTTATAACTGCCCAACTTGTTGGCTTTATTCAAATGAAAGTGGTCCCCAAATCAGCTGATTTACTACAGGTATCTTCACCTAAATCTGGTAACATTAATGAAAATGGCATGCCTGATTTGCAGTGATCTTTGCTTTTGATTTTCAACCCCGTTCTGTTTTTAACTTGTCAGACTTTTAAACACCACAAGTATAACTTGACTTAAGCCACTTGAACTAAGGTTTTAAATGTCCCTTTTACCATAAGATTTTTTTGTCAGGTGTCTTCAAGACTTGTTAATGAAGTCAACAGCCTGTGAACATAGAGCTCAGCATGTGATCACTGTACCTCAGAGGGACAGTGCTGATCCTGTGCTGTGTTGCATAGTCGTTGTATGCAAGGGAGGGATTACGCCGTGGGAACTTTGGGTCAGTTTGGTGATTTCAGAGACCTCCAGATTGAAATTTGTACTCGTAAGTGATAAAAAGTCTCCTTCCAAGCAGAAACAGCATGATGATGGTGATGACCACCATCATGACCAGAGCCCACCTCCCTCCAGAGTTGTCCTCATTTAGTGTCTGGTTTCTCTGGGGGCCTGTCCTGGGTTGTGTCGTCTGGTCCCCACCAGGGGCGGCTGCTGCTGCTGTCACACGCTGTCTCAATTCGGGGGTGGTGGTCCCACCTGGTTGGATGGTAGTGGTACCAGTTGCTTGGGGATCAGTGCTTGGTGATTGGCTTGTTGCTGCCTGGCTGCTCTGCGATTGGCCAGCTGGAGATTGGCTGGCATTTGGAGGTGTCTGATTGGTCCCTTGAGTTGCCGCTGCTGGGTTGGCGGCATTCTGATTGGCCAATAGCTGCTGGTTCATATTCATGAAGTTTGGCGGGTAGCCTGGGAACATGCTAGGCTGAAAGTGCATGCCCAGAGCTGCTGGGTTGAACGCAGCGAAGGGATTTGGGGGTGGAGCTGGATTGATTGCTGGTGGGGCGGTGTTAGCCTGAGCTTGTGGTGCAGCTGCCGATGGGTTACTGGTGGCATTCTCGCTGGGCTTCTTGTCCTCTTCCTTCTGTGATTCCAGAAAGATTCAAAAAGTTTCAGTAATGAAGTGATGGACATATAAAACCAGACCTGGAATGTTATGGTTTAAACCAAGGTTGCTGGAATTAGTGACTCAGATTTGACTGTCCTTGATAGACTGATAGACTCAGGAAAAATCTAGCTTGTTTCGTAAGCCTGACCTACACACAGGTACATAACAGTCCAAAATACTCCACAGCCAGCTTAGACGTTTATAACAGTCTTTCCTGGCACTTTCTGTGTCTATTAAAACCCACTTTTGTCGAACTCTCTCATTTAAAAGTCTTCTACTACGTCAGAGAGCTACTTAGACAAGAGGCTACCACAGGAGCAGCTGAAGAGATCAAAAGCAAGGTTCAGGCATCGCTATTCCGAAGGATTGGCATTTAATGACTTAAGACAGGGGACAGTTGGGTCTCCAAAGACCAGGGGTCTTCTGTTGTCCTGCCTACCTTGAAGCTGATCTGTGAGGCCAGCTTTGCCGCCTCCCGCTGCATCTCCTTGGACTTCTCTGAGGAGGTCTCCTTGGGGAGGATACACTTGTTGGCCTTCTTGCAAGATGGGCACGTCCAGTCTTGGGATCTGGGTTTAAGCAGAAGCCAAGATATGCCGATTGGCCGCCCAAAAACGAACAACTCACCAGAAATGGTGACAAATGGCAAAATAACAAGATTTTTCATGAAAACGGAGCCAGGCGAGATAATGACTGCATGGATCCTCAGTAGATGATCAGGTGAGTTTGTAAGCAATCTGCGTAACCCATTCGGCAGCCATGCAAGGAATTGAAGCACGTGGGAAAAAAAATGAAGGTTGAGCCAGGTGTAACATGTCACTCAGGCTGTTACCATTCTGCTAACGCACAGCGTAAAGTTGTTACACCCGTTGTATATATTAGCATTGTGTATGGAAACCAATAAAAAATGGTTTTATTGTATTAAATGAATAAGGTTAATACAATGTATACTTATTCATGTAAACAACCAAGCATCCACAGGCAGCCATAAATCATCTTTAACTCAGAGCCATGCTCCAGCAAGACAAAATGAGCTTTCAATTCTTACTTCTTGGCCAGTAATTTCCGTTCCTCTGGAGTGTAGTCAAGTGAGCCTATGGCCCCCTCTCCTTTCGTTGGCATAAAGCCGATGATGGCAAGCATGACGGTGCGGACTGGAAATAAGGGGAGAACGGCAGGTCAGGTAACAGTACAATAGTCCTACATAGTTTAGTTTTGTTTTTGTACATGTCTTTTTAAAAGCATTTCTCAGACTGCCAATTGTCAAAAAGCGAAAAACTAATCTAAATTTTATTACTGATTTGGATTAAGAGTTTTAGAATCTTGAATTAGAATCCAAATGTTTGGAGTATTTTATCGTGAATTGAAGGAATGAGGCGTCTTACTACTCCAGGACGGTTGCCAAGTTTCAGGGTGGTGACCGGATATCGACAGGCAAATCTTGGTGCCAACTTCAAATCTACCGGTGGGCTGCAAAAAAGTGTAACAGCAATAATAGTATACTGGGAAGAAAATGCAGGATAACTAAATGTACAAGTCTAAAATTATTATCTATTTAATTATTATTAAAAATCTCACTTTTGTAGCTTAGCATCATTATTCTGTAAGCTGTATACCAGAAATTAAAATAAAAACTACAAGGATGTAAAAAAAAAAAGTTTTCCAGCTTACTGTCAGAAGCATGATGCTAGGTGGCTTCATTGGGTAGTCTGGTGGAAGGGTGATCCTGCCGTGATACACGCCACCCTGGAAATCTGAGTCAGGGGGACCTCGCACAGTGAAATGCCACTCAAACAGATTGTCCTGTATCACAGTGGAAAAAAAAAGAAAACAAAAAGAAAAATAGTCAAGTGCCTAATTATGTAAACACAGTAAAGTGCTAGGTTTCGGGCAATTTGGACATGTTGGAAAAAGTGTCTCCATCATAGAAGTACTCAAGTAGAAACCTAGGATCCAGACTGCAGATAACTATAGCAACTGGTGCTAACACTGTCCATGCCTCCATAAACCAGTAAACCTGGTAAACCGTGGTGTGTCATGCTGCATTACCTCCAGTGGCTGTGCGTAACATTGTTCGGTAGGATCACTCAGTTCCTGAGCTTCTTTCATCAACCGCTTGACAGCTGACATTAACAAAAGAAAAAACACAGATCAAGCCACAATACACAAATATGGTGCAAACTGAACCTACAACTTTTTACCCAGAGGCCTTAAAGTCATTCTTGGCTTTCTTTTCTCGGAAATCTTTAAAGACTTATTGTTGTTATTGTTAGGAAATCCTTATTTAGTTAAAAAGTCCGCGCCGGCGTTTGTGCAATTTCTTACATTTCACTCAAAAAGGGTGACCCTGGCTTGATTTTTTTTCCTCCAGAGTTTCACGACAAAAAAGTCAAATTACCTGGACTCCTCCGAGAGTATTGCCCTTCCATCTTTGTCTTTGAACCGGTTTGTGAGAAAAGTCAAAATGAAATTGTAAACAAGTCAACTTTTACCACTCCCGCAACCCGACTCTCAGTCTGACAATCTGTGAAATTCCACTTCGTTATATCACTCCTGAAGAGGGTACCAGACCCACGTAAGAAATTACATTGACGTGGCCTGTGTGTCAACCTCGTGAGTTACGAACGATCCCAGTACGTTAGAAGAACATGTTTTGGCCTTTATATATTTTAAGCCTGAGAACTGGGAACGAGAATAAAGCCTATCTTAGCAATATGTTGCAGTTCTTGATTGGTCGCCGCACATAACCCGGAAGTAGTAGTACGTTCAAAACAAATGCGACTCACGCGCGGCACATGATGGTGTCTCAGAGTCGGACACTAGTCTAGGATTTGAATCATACCCTTTTGTTTCCAGCATCGAGATGTCATTTTGGCGGTGTTTCGGGGCGGTCAGTGTTCTAAAGCATGGAGAGACTTGTCGTCAGGTCGTACAACTACCCAGAAGGTGGAAGAAAATGAAGAAAAAATGGGGAGCAGTAAGTGATGTTGCATGACTGACATGACCTAGTCTGATGTCAATTCCATCATGTCCACTTTTATAACTTTTACGCAGAAGTGGGACCTACCTACATTTCATTGACATTATCAATGAAATATGTCCCATTCATTCATCATCTCTCTAAGACATAATATTGTTGAACAATATCAATACTCTGTCTGGAAAGAATATCAACAAGAATATAATATCAAATCAGTGCTCTGAAATATGTGGTTGCCGCGCTTTCGTTAACTGAGTACCTTTTTCAGGGCAAGCAGTCTGCTTACCTTGAAAAAGTTACTCACTTACCGAAAGCTCGGCAATCACATATTTCAAAGCACTAATTTGATATTATAGTCTTGTTGATATTCTGATCACGGTGCTACGCAGGCCTTCCATATTTCTCTGCCTGGAAAGAGGTCCATACACGGACAACACCAATTTTCCCTTAAAATTTTATTACACTAACAGCCATCAGAAATTTAGAACATGTCCTAAAATTTTGTAGAAAGTGAAATTTAGTGAAGAAAATTCTGAGGCATTTACTTTTTTTTTTAAAGACAAGTCTAATAGGTCTGTGCACAGGGACATCAAGTGTTGTCCCTGCACTTGTATGATGAACATGATGACCTCTGTCGTTTTGTCTTTCTATAATAATTTGTTCGAGAAATATTTTGATCGCGTATCACAAATTTTTTAATTCTCTGAGGCAAGTGAGCTAGAAACAGCAAACTGTTCACATGTTTTTTAACTTTTGTTATTTTTCATTTTGATGTTGGAATAGATACAGACGCAGCGGAAAGTGGAGCCCTCGTTCCACGCACTGCGGCATTTTGATGAGAACTACGGTCTCCAGTTTGGCGATGCATGGCCCACCATCCGCCTGGGGCTGCTTTCTCAGCAGAAGTATGGTGTCCTCCTCAACAACTACAGCATCGTGGAGGAAACGGAAGAGTTCCTCAGGAAACTTGGTGCAGAGGAATTTGTTCAGCCAGCTGCCGGTGAATTAGCAAAGATGATGGAGGACACATGGTCATCAGAGGACGTTACTGATTGGAGCACAGAATCCTCAGATGAAGAAAGCCAGAATTTGGACAATTTAGATGTTTCCCAATGTCCCAAAGATGCTGACCAAAATCTTGAGGATCGTCTCGGTCAGATGAGTACTGTAGAGAAGTCTCGTGAGCCAGGGACGCAGTCTCAATCAGATCAGAAGAGTTCATGGGAGGAGAAATACATTGTGATGCCCGGATACGAGGCTAAGATGGAGCTTCTCATGAGCTCAGATGCTGGGAGATACAAAGGGTTAGACTCTGCTCAAGCAGTCCCAGAGATTGACGCAAGGCACGTCCAGAGACCACTGAAAGTCAGTCAGCATCTGAAGTGCTTTGTTTTCAGAAGTGGGAGTGTGGAACGATTCCCGCCATCCAAGCTGGATTCCGGAGGGCTTTTTCTGCAGTATTACACCATGGATGCTGCATCCATCTTGCCAGTGATTGCACTGGATGTTGGACCGGGAGACTTGGTACTAGACATGTGCGCAGCCCCCGGCGGCAAGACACTGGCCATAATGCAGACCATGCTCGCAGGTTGGTGGACTGGCTTAGTTTACCGATCGCCCACTTTTAACAAAGTTTGGAGCAGCACCTGTCTCTGTGAGGCTCAAATTGTGTGCTTTGAATCATATGAGTCGCAAAGATGGACATTCAGTTGTCACCACATAGTCATACCCTGCTTTGATTTGGATGAGAACGGGGTTGGTGTGATACTTAAAGGGGCAATGTGTGATGTAAATTGTGCAGCTTTTAATCGTCCTTGCTGGTACATATGTTTCAATGTCACTCACCAGTTATAAATCCACATTTACTTGATAGAAATGGTTTGCAGTACCCTCTGATAAATCTGACTTGGACCAGCTGGCCGAGCCGAGCAAGCTCGGTGGTCGAATGGTTAAGACGTCTGCACTAGTAAGCAGGAGGTTGTAGGTTCGAGTCTCACCTGAACTTGTGAATTTTTTACAAGCGCTCAGATAAACACCCAGTATACAGTGTTATGAGTATGTGTCGGTGTGCAAGGGCAAAAATCCCACATTGGCAATTCTGTCTTAACTTTCTGAAGTAGATGTGTTGTTATGTGACCTTAGGCATTGTAATAAATATCTTGTATTTTTTAGGTGTAATTCTGAATGTTTTGGATGAAATAGTAATTGGGGGATGGCTATAGACCTGATTAGGAAACAAATATTTTTGTCCGTTTCAAGACATTCTCTGTAAAATTTTCAAGGCTATAGCCCACGTCCCCTGTTGATGTGTATGTTACGAAACCCATTTTATGAAAGAGAACGTGCTTAAATCTCATTTCAGTGATTTGCAACTTTTTTCTGCAAATTTTCAGGTGGTGTGGTTGCCAACGAACCAGAGACTGCTCGGAGACGTCGACTCCTCAACGTCTTGCGTTCCTACACCGGCTTTCACTGGCAGAGGAGCGAAGAACTACGATTCACGGCAGAGGACGGACGCCAGTGGGGCGAGATGGAACCGGATACATATGATAAGGCACGGCAAGGTTGATGATCTCTTGGGCTGCCATTCAGAGAAGCCTCTTGTTTTAATGAAAAAAATCCCCAATGGAAATGATTGACCTCATGAAACAAGTTGTGGCTTGGCAACAGCTGCAGAAAATGGATTGGATCTTATCAAGTCATTTGGGAGTGCTTGCAGGCTGTCCAGGATACCTTCTTAACTTCTCAGAGATCACGGTAATGCATCCATCAGTACAATATCTCCTTGGTTTCTTGCAGGTTTTAGTCGATGTTCCATGCACCACAGATCGGCTGGCGGTCACCAACAACGACAACAGCATCTTTGCTGTCAGGAGGACCAGTGAACGTTGGGGACTTCCCAAACTCCAGACTGAACTTCTGTGGTGAGCGCAGTGTAGTTTCCCATATGAGCAGATTTGATTTCGGGTCTACATTTTGAGAACATTTCTCTGAGCTGTAGTTGAGTGCTTCCAGGCTTTCCAAGCACTCAAGAAGCACACCTTAAGACCCAAGCTGTGTTGACTTACATGTAGTGTGGACAAGGGCTAGGCATGCACAAATGTGATCCTGAGAGTCCTTTGTACTGTATGATTTCAGAGGCGAATTATTTTAACTATCCCCCTTTTCTCAAATGTGTATTTCACTCCATGCAATCTACAACCTCACTTTTCTAATGATATGGTCTCACCTTGGTGGACTTTTGAAAACTGGCTTAATCTAGGTTTACACTACGTTCCCGGTGGTTAAAATGGTCTGTACGTGAGACAATGCCACGGCAGTCACGGAGCGGATGAGAAACCTAGTAGGCTGTAGTAAAAGGTGATGAATGCAGTACAGTGCGTGAGAGGCCGTAACAAGACTTGGAGACGGTCCATAGTGGGACGGGCAAATTGTTGACATTTAAAACTCTGGCCCTGCATCCACGGCAATCACAGACTGGCACGTTTTCCCATCCCATCTCCCGTGTTGTCTCACGTCCATACTGTTTTGTCCACGGTGGCCACCGCAATTGTGATTGCCGTGGCCACCAGGAACATAGTGTAAACCTAACTTAAGAAAATCCCACGGTGCTCTACATTTCGGGCAATCGTGATTGCCGTGGCCGCCTGGAACATACTGTAAACCGAGCTTTAATTGTAGTCTTACACAAGGGAACTGCCAGTTGAAAATACACCAAAGCAGTGTTCAACTACTTATCTGAATGTTTCATTTTATTTTTATTCCCTCGATAAATCAGTGCCGGTCTTAAGGCCGTGAAACCAGGCGGTGATGTTGTCTACTCGACATGCTCGCTTTCACAACAGCAGAATGACGCTGTCGTAGAGAGCGCCCTCTATCACTGCCAGGCAGAGACGGACATGGAAGTGGTCGTGGTTGAACTGTCACCGCTGGCCCAGTGCTTGGGTCATGTTTTCAAATTCTGCGACCGCGCGAAACACGGACAGCTCGTATTGCCAAACCTGAACAGCAACTTTGGTCCGATGTATTTCTGTAAGCTGTGTCGGCTGAGGTAGCGAAAGGGTGTATTTGGTACATGTTAGCAAATTGTGTCCTGCACAGAAAGTGATCAAAGAAATTGTGTTTGCAAGTACAAGTACAGATGTGTCTGTAACCGTGTCATTTAGAAAGGTTTCTTTGATTTGGACCATTGTTAATGTGTGAAATATCTTCACTTTGAAATGTGTGTCATTTTGGCTGGGGTTGTTTCAACAATCTGGCATTCCCAAATAATCCGTCCTGAGGCTCTGTTGAATCAGTTCATTCATCGCTTTGTGCTGCCGAGGTAGATGCATTCTGAAGTTTTCTAGGTTCTGCAACTGTCGCTCGTGGCATTTTGTCAAGATGTTGTTAATGTGTTTCAGTATTGCAACCCTTTTTTAACTGGAGCCAATTTATGTTAATTGCTTACTGTTATACATGGATAAACTGATGCTAACACGTTGAACCTCCAGAGCCTCGATTTCATAGGAATTAAACTGAAGATTTACGTTCAGTTTTTTCTTTCCTAGGGCAAGGCATCAATCAAGCAGCAAAATGAACCTCTTGCTGTTTTTTTTTGGGGGGGGGTTACAAAGGAAAATGTGAAAATTAATTGTGTTGCATTGAAAGATAAAACATGCTTTTTTTGTATTAGAAGTAATCTTAGCTGGTAAGAGAAAATTTTGCCAAATTATGCCAAGGTTAATCCCATGCAGTCAGTTTCGGGAGTCAAACAGTTTTTTTGAAGAGTAACATGCTATAATTTGTTGAGGTATTCGGAATGATGAAATATGCTTATCTTGCTTCAAGGTATGTTTTGGGGCTATTGGGAGCAATGTCAGTTTTAATAAAAATGCACTTTTCAAATTGAAATATCTTGAAATTCTGTCAAAATGATTCATCTATTTTCAGCCCAAATTTTATGATATGCAATTTTGCTTGAACTTAACACAAACGATATTTATGAGTCCTTTCAGCCTATTCCCAGTGCTCTAGAAGTATTGATGCAAAAATCAAATTTTGTTCAAATGCAAGGCTTACCCTTTACAGATTTATTTAATTCTACTTAAGATTCCAGCTGTATAAT